CTCAGATCTATGAGTGATGTTCTCCTCTGATTAATGTGCTTCTTTCTGTTGACAAGCTTGATCTCTTCTGGCTTCACAGTGACATTGACGGAATGTTAAGAAGTGCCAATGCCACCGAGTATGGTCTGGCTTCAGGCGTCTTCACCAACGACATCAACAAAGCTCTTTACTGCAGTGATAAGCTCAATGCTGGCACCGTCTTTGTCAACTGCTACAACAAGACTGACGTGGCTGCACCATTTGGTGGTTTCAAACAGTCTGGCTTTGGCAAAGACTTGGGTAATGCTGTCCAATATCATTCTATTCCAATGGGTTATTATTTTGATCATGTAATATATTTTGATAATACTTTCAAAGGATCTGTTGATAACATTCTCCTGATCTTAATAATTTTACTGGATACCTGACCTCAAAATGAGGACATGTAAAGCCTCACACCTTCTGAAACTTATGGAACTTCATTTCAGCAAAGTTAATCGGAATAAGTTTGCAGTCAACACCGTTAAACAAGTCACAAGACCAGTCACAAGATCGGTCACAAGACCAGTCATCAGATCAGTCATGAGTCACAGAGTGGACATTGACAAACGAACACTTTTATTGCAGTTCATTAAAATATCTTGTGACTTGAATTCAGACTTGAGGTCTTGTATTGGTCTTGCGATGGTTTTGTGGGATCTTGTGATGCCTTAAGGGATATCAACTGTTGGACCTGACATCAGAGGTCTCATGAATGACTCAGCATTGATTGTTATTTCACCCTGCATGGATGTCAGATGTTAGGCTAATGTACAGGCCACTTCAAGTGTGGTACTAGTTTAGCAGGTTTGTCATGATTTCTTGTGTTCAATTTATGCAGGAATGGAGGCCATGAATGAATACTTGAAGACCAAGACAGTCACAGTGGAGTATTGATTACCCTAGCTCATCAAACACTTCTTGAAGTTACAGAAGTCAAAGGGGCATGAAGAGCCAATCACGTCCGAAAGAGTGATTTTACACAGAGGTATTCTGAGCCAACAAAGCTGCAGTGATTCTTTTTTTTTTTCGTATGAAATGTGTTTTTAACTTGAAATAAAACAAGATGAATAAATGATAGAAAGCCTAATATTGCATTTTGAGTGCAGCTGTAGGTGCTACACCAAGAATGTTCTCTGCAAGGAGCTGGCAAAAATTTTTGATTATGCAAAGTTTTTTTGTTTTTTGTTTTGTTTACAATTTTAAATACATCTTGTGGCAACAAATGAGCCAAAGAAGATTTATTCTGGAACATATGTCATGTTCATTTTTTTAATATGATTTTCAAGCTATAATCCAAACATATATTGGTTGATTCATTTCTTTCCCTCAGCTGAAACCTTTTTTTTTCAGTCACTGCACAGCTTGTTTCCAGACGAAGTTTGTTATTCATCCATTTCAAATCATTGTAACACTTCTAAATGCATGTGATCAATCATCATTCTAACCACTCACATCTTACAGGCATCTTACAGGTGATTATTAAAGTACCTTGCCTTGAAGTTTTCCAAATATGACTGGTGTTTCCAGAGCAGTTGACAGTAATATTTTAATCTGATAAAGAATTGCTAATTACCGAACCCCTGCAAATGGAAGCAGCCCAAGCAAGATGAGTCACAGACAAAGGTACAACCAAAACTTGAAAAGGAGGTTTAAACTGGAGAAAAGAGATTGCCGAGGAGACAGACAAATACTGGGTCATTTTCTGGGTTTGTTGGGTGAAAATAAAGTTGTGTGAATGTCAATTTGCCATTGGTTTTTGTTTGTAGTCACACAGATAAGCGGACATGTGCTTCAAGTATTCTTATTGAGCATTTTTGCTTTTCTCAATATTCAGAGATGTGCCTACTTTATATTCTAAGCACCAATTTGTGGATAATATTAAGGATAATGCTGTATCCTCATGCCCAATTTTATTATGCAGAAACATTTTATCATCTAAGTCTGTGTGTCTCTGCTGTACAGTTGACTTAATCTATGCTTTAGTTTAATTATTAACCCTAACACTCCTCAGTCCTCCAACAGGTGAAGGATTGAGGAGGGTTAGGGTTAATGGTGCCCGAGTTGGCTTAAGTTTGTGTAGAATGAATGCATGATTCTCCTCAACATACCATTTTATGTTTTAAATATTTTCTACCGGACTCATACACAGAATCATCTTGTAGCATAGGCTGATTTTGAGCCGCTGCCCCCCCCCCCCCGGTTTTATCCTTACAGAATATTCAGTATTTGCAATGTCAAAAAGACTTTCTAAACTATAGTTGCAGTTTTGAAGTGATCAACATAAATCATGAATTGAGTCTTGGATAAGAGTATTACAGACTTTTTTAAACCTCGAAACTATGATTACTTGTTTTTTATTTTGTGATGTCCACTAATGACCATTAATTTGCAACATCATGTATGAATGATGATTTACCAACATTAAATCGTGCAAAATTTAAATATTCCTGCTTCAATTCCGATTCACTGTGTTGTGCTGTGTTGAATGACTTGTACAATGAAATGCATAGTTACACACTGATTTAGGCTTGTACCGTGGATGGTACTAACCATTCACGAAATAGACAAATGTTTGAACTGCTTAATGTGGGTTTCATGCTAATGTTATGCCACGAATTCAGTTCAAGTCAACGGTCTGGTGTTTACTTCGTTCATAAATTTGCAGAATGTTTCAGAGGACTTTGAAATTTCATGTATGCTCCCTGAAAAGGTTACCTCTTCAAATTTGATCTCGGCAGTGAATTAAATAGCAAGCTATGCGCGGTTGAATTGAGTCGATTTATTCAACTTCCTACTTTTTAACCAAGCACTGTTTAACTTGTGACATCATGCCTTTAGACAAATAAATCAATTTGGTAACATTTATTCAATGTTGTTATTATCAGAACCGGCAAATTGGCCCATTCAAAGGCAAAAAGTAGTAAGATTATTATAATTTGCATTTTGAATAGGTAATACACGTACTTATAACATGAGAGATGAATTGAATGAATCGGAAAAGGGAGACACGGGTGTGTAACGAAATAAGTCCTCACAGATGGACTTTTAGCTTCATACATTGATCAAAGAGACTTGTAAATAAAGCGACAAAGATTCAACGGGAAAAACGCAAACATGCTTAGGTACAGTCAGGTAGGTTTGGTTATAGCATTATACTTGAAATTGTTGGGAAGTGGTGGTGAGCGCGCAACGATGGTTTGGCTTCCCAGCATCATTTTCATCCTTTTCGTGTTTATATCTTTTACAAGTTGACATAAAATATTCATTTAAAAACCCCATACACTGTTTTGCAACACACGGCGTTATACGTTCATTCTGTTACTAAGCTTACAAAAAGGAATGAATTGAAAATGGTCATTTTTCATACTTTCACCTCGTGGGTGTCGGGAGCCATTTCAGAGGGGTTGTCCTGTAAAGTTTCTTGCAAACATAAAAAAGGTCGTCTCATATTTTCTTGATTTCAAGTTGATTTTAAACACCAAAGAATATTCACGGGAAATGCTTCACCATACACTTATTCAATTTTGTTCGTTTGGGAAAGAAATACAAGTCCAAACATGTCCAAAGTAAATCTGAATTAATTGACACTTTGTTACCGTAGCGGTTTAGATAACCATTAACGAAATGTGACGATCAATCAAAGTAATCACCAAAAAATGAATTCGCCTTTACCCTACAAAACCGACCGCCATACGACATTGACAATTAAGTAAGATAAAATGCTACGAAGATGAATTATACTGCTCGTTAAATGAAATCTATTTGACTTCCGACAATCTAAATTTGAGTATATCGGTGCACGTAATTTTGAGTATCGTTCTAGGGAACTTGTGTTAAAGTAACTGGGAAAACTCTCACACACTGGTATCATCAACAGACTATCGTATATTGGATATTAAGTGATCTTATAACTAATTGAGTGAAGTTAAGGAAACAGGTGTATTAATAGTTTAGTTTGCTTCTTTTATATAAAAGAATTCTAAACCGAACTACATTTGCAAGTCTGTGTGCGTGGACGACATCAAGAGTTCAGTTATACAAACGAGATATATTTATCTGTTTTGCCTTTCAGAAAAAAAAACAGCATTAAAAAGACGGAGCCCTTTACTTTTACACGAAACTTGTGTGTGCCGTGTACGCCCGATTTGTTATCATAAGTAACATTTCCAACATTTTTATTTTAATAATTGAATCGTTCGTATGTCCAAATTTTTCATATTGGCTTTTACCTGCTTACGATGAGTTGAATACGGGCGTTTCACAGCAGTGCGCGTTAGCCAATCACAATGCGCAAAATCTGTCGACCAATGCGTGTATGGAAAGGACAAATTTCGCGCGTTGTGATTGGCCAATGCACTTCAAACTCTAGAAGGCGCAGCGTGTTGTGAAGCGCCCAAATTCCTCATGCATCTTGTGGTAAGTGTCGTCGAACGGGTTAGTCGTTCTGTGAAATGATCAGTATCTTTCCAATTTAGTTATCACCTGACTTAATGATTAATTAATCAATAAATCCCTCAGCTGATAGAAGTAGGTTAACGAGCAACCACCATTTTCCCAGAAAAATCAATTACCAATTCAAAGTCTTCTTAATAAGAAGTTTCGGCAAAATCAATGCAGAGTAATCGAAAAAGACGTATAGGTTGTGTGTCAATACTGACATGTCTAATTATGTTTGCGGTTTCAAATCAACAACTTCAATAGGCCGCCGGCCCGGAGATATATACTTGCATATAGGTGGGCCCATCAACTGCATATAACGGACCAAATAAAGGGGAATGGGCCTACATTAGGATCACATGGGTGCGGGATGGGATTTCTTATAACTGAATAAAGAAAAACGACAAAATTAGACTATGCCTCGATTATAATCATTGCATGACAATCTTGGGGGGAAACCTATGAGGTGTTGTTTATAAGAGCTATAATGTTCTCGACCTTCAGTTTAGATAGAGAACGTGCATGGTCTAGGACAAGGTTATAGCCACGGTTTCTCCAGGCCTACTTCTAATACATCGGTGCCATATTCCACTATATTAACAGGTGAATAAGTTTGCACCGTGTAATTTAAAGTGCGATGATATATCAATAAAACGTAAATTATGCAGTGCTTTTAATGGACTGAAATCATCCCTCAGTCATCCGCCCAATACTGTTAACCAGTGTTGTATTGGAGTCCATCACAAGTCCCTGTAAGTCCATCACAAGTCATTCAGTTTTAAACCAATTCACAGGCTATTCAAATCTTGCCGGCCTAATCTTGATGACCTTCGATCAGGTAGTGTGCGTAACTTCAGTTTCACCAGCTACTTCGATGACATCCACAATCTTCAAGCTGTCGGTGCCTTGGGGTTGAATCTGATCCCCACCCGCTCCACAGCTACACCAGAACAACTGCTTGATTCCTTTCCTGAAGGACCGATTTTTCATGGTGTAGATGATGGGATTTATACAGGAATTGCTGATGGAAAGGATCGCACAGAAGTGAAAGTAGGGTGCAGCGAAATTGACAGGCGCTCCCAAGTTGAATGCAAAGTAGACAACGTTAGTCGGTGTCCAGCAGACGACGTAAGCGATAATTACAACCAGCAGAGTTTTCTGAAGTTCCTTGGACGTTCGGAGCTGCCACATCTGTCTTTCTTTGGCGTGGTTAACTTCTTGACCGCCATCTGTATGAAGATAACGTAGCGGGTACTGTATTAAACTTACAAATGTGTTGCCCGAGTGAAGTAGGTAATTTTAATGCTCAAGCAATCTTCTCCACCACTGTTAACTTTCATACTTCAAAGTGATCCACGGTAAAAAAAAAAATGTCTTCAGGAAGCTTTCAAGTTGGTGGTTGCAGGCAGTTGGCTCGTCGCCCAGCCCGGAATAGGGTGCTGGGAAGGGCTGATGGCTTTGCACTGTGATTGGCTACATTGTGCACGACGTGTGACCTCGAGGTTATCACTTCCTGTCAGCGAAGCGTTATTTAAATTTTTGGGTTCGCAAATGGCAATGCTTTGACACGGACAAAGTGTCGGCTATGTGACACAAACATGCATATGGCCTTGGTACAAACACAGTGTGGTAATTAATCTTCTCACTAATAAGTACACTGATCAGGTGTCTTTTGGCTATGTATTTCAAAATCACTGGTTATCTTGGTGAATTTTGGATGAACGAGTAAAGTGTAGTGAAAATATTTTCAGCAAAGAAAAAAAGAATAAGTATCGAATCGATAACCGTCGCTGTGAGTGTAACGCACTGGGCGAGCTCGCGCGTCTGACAGACACAGGCGACGAGCGAACCTCTCACGAAACTCTTAGAGTACCTCGATACGAGGGAATTCCCAAAGGCACTCGATTTAACTGACAGCTAGCTGAGATTTGGGTTTAAGAACACGAAACACTTTGGCAAATTGTTTCCTAGTGTATGATTCATCTTGTCTGCATAAAATGCTCCAATACAGCGCGTGTTAAGGCATCGGGGATGTTCATACGCCCGCACGGATCGAAACATGGATCATCTGCTTTAACAAAGTAACACCTGCTTGTATTCAAAGTTTGCATGTTGAGTTCTTTCGTTCCTGGCCTGTGACTGGCGACTCGGAGACGGACTTGACATTGGTAACTCGGCCTGTGTGTAATGGGAAAGTTGCCTTCGGGGAAGGATACGTTGATGATGCGGATTTCGACAAACACACTGTGTTTGCACGGAAAAATTGTGGCATAATTTTCGATGAAGACAGATGTCAATGTTTACTTTTGGTTTTTAATATTATGACAAATTTAAGATATCCCCCCAATTAGCCCCCATTATTCATGCTTTGGTACCGACACGGTATTTTGTTTTAAACAAATCAATGGAACTCGCATAGTGTTTACCATCGGTTCTTCTCAGAACCACACGCCCATAAAAGAGATATTTTTCTTGTACATGGTGCAACCTTAAGCCTAACCTAGGCCTAATTAATGGAATTTAATTTACCTGATCTTTGACGCTTCTCCTTCAGTTGTTTCACTTGCTGGTTAAGGCTTGAGATCACCCTCCACTGTGTGATAACCATGATGCTTAGAGGTGCCAACAAGTACGCAGTGAAAATGTAGACGCCAGCTACAGCCTGCAAAGCGAAGTTACCCCAACCGACAAACAGACAAGCGGTCGTACCGTCGAACACATCATATATGATGAAGTAATACCAGTTGCAAAGTAACGCCAGGCACCAACAACCCAGTAAGATGAGGTATTTGTTTCTGGGTTGGAATAACGTCTTATACTTGTGAGGATGGACAATGGCTACATATCTTTGCAGATTTACCACTGCCAGGTTGAAGACAGAGACAAGCATACTGGTCCAGAGGGGGAACTTGGAATCGAACATGCGACACCTGATTTCACCACCCCAACCACCGCTAGGGGACGGGGTGTACGTGAAAAGATGAAATAGGACTGCCCACAGACAAGTCATGAAATCTACTATAGCTAGATGCACGAGAAAGTCACTGGTGTTGGAACGAAGGGATGGGACTCTTAGCATGACCAAACAGACAAGCAGGTTGCCAATGATCCCTACAGTGCAGATGAGACCGTATGACGTTCTTACCAAGATACTGTTCTCAATCTCGACACCAACGCCCCAACCTTCCTGCTCGTCCGATGCTACTGTAGGCCCAACTCCTTCCATTCTGTAAATCTAAATGTCTGAAACTAAGAACTACTAACACCTGAACTGCTCAGATTTAAATGATTTGATTGTTTGGGTTTTTGAGGGATGTAGGCCGGCCTTCGATTTCACATGAATGCGTTGTACAGCAAGGTTGTGCGGAGTACTGCAGCAAAAGGTATTGCGACCGCCTTATGAAGATTGACCCTTAAGGAATTAGAGTGAAGTATCCTTGTGATATAAGCAAATGCGCATGTGCGAGAATCTAAACTAGGGTACTTCAGACCAGCCCTTGCAACGTCAGGAGCATTCTCGCCTGCATCAACGGAGATCCATTATTGATGATATCGTGATGCATCACCGTCAGTGATGTCACGTTACAGTGGTCCGTCTCCGTGACTTCCGTACCAGAGCATCTATTACCCGTGGTTTTTAGCCTTATTCCACCCTTGGCCTTGCATCAGCATGGAGTACGCAATGATTTGGCGTCATATTAAGACCCGCTCCGGGGACCGATCCAGGAATTTTTCCGGGGGGGGGGTGACGCCGGAGTTTGTTTGTTTTTTTTTCTCGATGTCTAATTTTGCGGACAAGCGGAAATAATGATGAAACATTGCATGACATACATGTACATTGTTTACAATGTACTGGTGGACTTACCTTTGCACACATTATTTTTTTTTTATCATTATTTTTCCCCATTTTAAATTTTTTTTTGTTACTCAGAGCGGGAGGGGTTCGACCCCAGGATCAGCACCTGCGCTGTAGACACCCATATATACTGCCATATCAAACCTAAATGAATATTTGTTTACGTGCTTCACCGATAAGTTAGACTATTCCACACCAAGGTGAGTCACTATGACAACGCCGTTTGACTAGGAAGAATTTGGCGTGATATCACCGTTCTGAACAGTAGTGACACGACACGCACTGTTGTCCTTGCTCTGTTGCCGCGCGGTATACAAAAATGCGAGAAAAAAACATCGAGGCAGAAATAACATTTCAATATGATTCCAGTTGTTGAGTGACATTCTTCCAAACATGAATATCGATAACTTTAATGTTTGAACAAGTCTTTAGACTTGTTTCAATTCCTCGACATTTTCTATGTTTTCTTTCCCTCTTATTTTAATGAGACGTCCGACTTACTTGATTGCAGCTTGAAATTACACACAAGCTGGCTATGTCTACACCCACTTCCCAATCGTGATTTCAAGTCGTAGCCAGGTAATTCGGACATGGCTCTCATCGCTATCAGTCATGTTTGTGATGTGTGCATTATGTGACCTCATGGTCATTGTTCCTTGGTAACCAGAAATTTAATTGTCCTCGTTATCTCCGTCGGGTTGATAATTTCGTTCGACAGTATCATCTTTCAATTTTGTTAGGTGTTGTATGGCCGCTTTAGATAGCTTATCGTTCCCTACGTTCACTCGCAAGGAGGCACGGCGTTGTTTGGCCTAACTCGCGAATGATGTCACTTCGTTATGAATTTGGATCATGGGGCGTAAATGTCGGGGAATGGAGGGTATATCCCCCAAACTTTTGGGATGGGGGCAATTGAATCATCCCCTCCCCACACACGAATGTTTGTAATGAGAACAAAAGCAAAAATAACAAAGAAAGTGGATTATGATGAATTTTTTGGATTTTCTCACGACTAAACTTTTTGAAATATCACTGAAAAGGGAAAGCACGTTCTTAAAGTCATAAATATGGCATTATGATGTATGATTCTGCGTGAATTTGATACACTGTTACAGATGTACATCTTTATCATGAACATCGAGCCCTATATAGTGTATATGGTGTACCTCGCCCTTGCTTTTGAAATTATCATGGCCAGGCAAGTCATCCCCTCCATGTTTCCCTATGCCCCACCCCCCCAAAAAAAAAACATTTCGTGCACAGATTGACGCCACCGATTTAGATAGTATGGCAGATTGACCATGTACTTAGCTACCGAATGCTTCGAGTGTTCTTGTGGGGGCCCAATTTTTCTTTCCATTCCGAGATGTACTTATACTAACTTCATATCAGGAGTACCAATTCTGGGTAATTGGTGACGCAGGTGAGATCGTGTCTGTCCGTGGATTGGATGTATAACCTCGATAACATTCTCCTTTAAGTATTAAAATTAATGTACGTTGTTTTAATAATCTCCAGTATTCAGAATCAGCCTTGGGCATCAGCTGGTTTGCGTGTTTCATCAATTGACTGAACCAAATCATTCCATTTTTACAAGGGCAAACTGCCACGAAATAACCAGAAATGTCGTGTTGGAGATTGTTTACTCACTTTATTTTTTTTATTTAGAAGTCTGAATCGAAGGAATCAAACCTGTTGTCTTAAGTTATTACGAATAATAGTGTTTTTTACATCATAACTGGTAGTGATTTTGAAGTTTGCGTTTTCGTCTTTCCAGTCGAGCCATATAAAATTATGGAATCCTTCAGTATTAAATAATGCATAATTATAAGACGAGAAATACATCGAAGTCGTCGGATCCGCGGTGGCAAGCTGACACGTACCAGGCGTGGCTGCGATGGGTACGGTGTGGTGTAAACATGACTCGCGCTCTATAACGGCTTTTGTTTCTGACGTCCAATTTTTACACCGCGTAAACGCTTTCGTTTTAGTGATTCTCAATTGATCTTGACGTGGTTTGTAAAATTTTCTGATGAAAATTTCAGAGGCGCTTTCAATTTTGTTATGACCTTGCTTTGAAGTGTACCTTCTCAAATTTTTTCAGTATGACCTATAATAAATGCCCAACTTGTTTATAGGAAGTCGCTGAAACTTCATCCTTTGTATTATAATTCGATTGGCTAATTCCATAGTTAACTTTCATTCGATAAGCATTTCTTTATCTGTTGATGTCATACCTGGTAGAATTAAATCACTCAGATTCACACAGTGGTAACTCATTTGATTTTGTCTTACCCGTGAACGAGACGTTGGTAGCGATTGTTATTTTATTAGTTACTCAAGAATTCCTCCTAAGGGCAAAAAGCTTGCTTTTTTGCACAATCACCGTGCGGCACAAGAAGGTAACTTACACACCCCCTCCGGTAAAAAAGATAGAATATTCTGAAGGTACCAAAGACAAAGAGACACAAATGATAACGGGGAGATATCAAGCTATTCAAGTCGACAATTTTCTTTCGGATGCATAGGAATTATTCAACCCTTACGCTGTTGAACTAGCAGTAGGTGCTATGCTGATGAGTAGTCATCCCCCCCCCCCGGGAAAACCTCTTGCCCCTACCCCCTGAGAAAAATCCTGGCTATACGCCCATGGACAAAGGGCTGGTACAATGCAAACATATGAGCGTCCAGCCTCGTCAAATCCTCAGACAACACGTGCGTAATTTCATACAGAACAAGGGTAGTGTTTTTAAATGAGACACACTCTGTCGTGTTCTCTTGTCCTCACACTCCAAGAAAATAGGGAGATCAAGGAATACATCTACCTGATACTTCTTATACGTATTTCATTTCATTTATCATGGTCTGGACGTGTAAGCGGGTTATGCCTAATCCATAAGTCGACGATACCTGTCCCATATCCAGCTGGGATGGGGCAGACAACTTAAACCCTGACGGATTTGGTTGTTTTGTTTTGTTTTGTTTACAAAGAATACTTTATATAGGGGAATAAAAAAAGTAGTCTGTATATTTATTTATCAGATATTAGCGCCCAAACCCTAAGAAAACAACACCAGTAAATAAAAGCAAGAATGTCAGGACCGTTAGTAAGGCTTTGGATTTTTCCCCCACCATGTTGAATGAGCCCAAGCCACATTCACGTTTGAAGTCCCCCCCCATGACACCAAAAGCTGGATGAACCGCTGAGCGGTACATGTCGTTTCTGCTCTCATGTAACGACTCCGTCGCCAAAGTGTTGCGAATCACGTTCCCTGAATTTCGCGTTTTAACAATATGGTGAATGGTGTTCGTAATAAATTAAACATTCCAAGATGGAAATATCTTATCTTTGACGGCCACCGAACGCAACGCACACGTGTGTTATGTCGATTTGTGTACACACTTTCGGCTGTGCTGATATGACAGGCTGTCACGCTCGCGCGTAGCTGTTCCCGAACAGCCTCGCACTAGGCATGCGCTGTTGGGATACCGAACTGGTTCATACATGTATCCAAATGAACCCGACATTCGTTTTAAAAACTACACGTAACGTTGGACATCAAATCATCAAATCAAATTAACTTGACACCCATGTATGTGTGATGCTTTGTTTGTGGGGTACTAGATAGGAAGTACCCCACAAAGAGCCTTCGTTAGTTGTACTTATCAATTGCGAATTTTATTTTATTTTACACCAGGGATATTTGGTCGAAATTTCAAAGTGACTCTGGCTCAAATTGGAACTATTTGAAAACTGCAGTTCACACACCCATTTTATTTGGTGTATGTTACAAGAACAATGGAAATACTCCTCATAAGGATAAAGAAACAAGTGTTGGGGCTTCTTGTGTTGAGGTTAAACACAGAATTCTGAGTGCAAAGAGCTAGAGGTGCCGAATGGTTTGTGCCTGATTATTTGTGTTTTCCCATCGCAGCGCTTTTTTTTTGTAACCTCATCAAATTGCATTCTGAGAATGTGAAAGGGAAATGGCCAAAAATGAAAGCCCAATCTAACTCTCAGTGGTCTTTTTTCATGTCAAGCGTATAATAATCCTGTTTGTTCCATGCACGCGAATGCCAAACTGAAAGTCACAGTCTCCATGATCAAAAATAAAAGTCAAGAATTCAGGCACCGAGTTTAAAAAGAAGACCAAGAAGTGACAATGTAACTAGTCTCGAGGTTTGTGTGCAAGTTGCTGAACACCGACTGACTGAACTCCGATTACCAACTGAATTGAATTTAGAACACCATATAAATCCAATTCATATTCTGTCTGTTGTGGTGACATGATGACTCTCCTTGTTACACAGCCGTTATGATTGTCCTTTAGCAGCTAGGGTTATACTTGTACTAGGTTAAAAAATGCCAACCACCAGAAAAACGTTTACTTTTTGAGATAAAGAATACCTCACATTCTGAAAAGATTTCTGGCTACAGAGAGAGAGAGGGATTAAAATGCGAGGACGACCACGTCATGTTGTATATGCGTCCAAACGTTTAGGTACATGAATGCGGCCTGCATTCCCGTCGGTTTTACATAACCTAGATTGTCATGATTGTGATAATCCATATACACACGTACCTTGCATTTCGAGTTTATGTACATGTCGAGTTTATGTACATGTAGGCCTATGTATTTTATTCTTACTTGTATGTAGTTCGGTGTTCCTGCGTGATGCCCACAAGTTGGTTTACACGGATCTAAATCTTATTTTCAGCAGTAGACGGGGGCATTGGACCAACTATAGGAGCAACCATAGGTGCTATGTGAGGCCAAAACTTGCAGAAATATCAATCCGTGTTGGTCGTAGTTTTGCCTCAACTCGTATACCATTGCCCTGTTTACCGTGAGCGGTATATTCGTAGAAGTTAGACGTGGATTCATTATTTGGAGTTTTGTGGATAGCTTAGTGAGACTTGTTTGAGTTATCTTTTGTTTTTGTACTGACAATCAACCACAGTTTACCAGCGACCAGGAGGTGAAAACTTTACCGTGGCGTAGATAGAGAGACCCGTATAGGGCCGTGGGAAATGGTCTTAGTTATACATTTTTAATTTAAGCTCAGAGGGAGGCTTTTGCCTTTCCGAGTCTTCTCTTTGCATTCAGCCTTGTCATCTGCCCTAGTTTTACACCCTTTTGTATCGGCGTCTATTCATCATAGGCTTATTCTACAAATTTTGTGTGAGAATTCCAGGCACGCAAAATGTAAGGTCTGAAGGGAGCCTTTGCATAGTGGGAAAGGACAAGCTTTTGTGCTCACCAACAATCGTGAACGCTGAGTAAATGATTTGTGATGCCTTTGGATGATTGTAAATGGGGTTTCATCAGCGACCCCGATGTGGCTGCCTACCCTGTATATTTTTATTGAATAGGCCCTAAACCAGAACAATAAATTATTGTGAAAACGTTTCCCCGAGGATATGTAACGGAATTTAAAACTCTTGTTTGAGGCCTCCTTTGAGCCTTGTTTATTTTGTCAAGATCAAAAGAACCAGTTGCCTTCAGTAGTTTTCTAGCAAGCTTTCCAGTATTTGTATTGCATTCTGGCCTAAACAGCGTCACAACCCACCAAGCTCCATACTGTAGCGACAACTCTGCGCTTAATTCCACCTCAAGCAAGGACGTGATTGAGCATGTAAGAAGTTGTACATTTCTAAGGACTGTGGTATCGTGATCATGGTGTAAAAAGAAATAGGCCTAAGTATTCAAATGACGAGTTCCATTATTTATTTAGAAACTTTCATTTCATTACTTTTGAACTCCATCATCTTTGGACAAGTTGAGATTTATACTTGTCAACAGCAAGTCCAATCGTTAAATGTAAATGAGGAATATGTGTGTTTATTTCGTTGCTAATTTTGATTGTAATCGAATTAAAACTACAGTGTGGTAGGTTTTTGTGTGGGCTTGTTATCCTTTAATGTCGATTTTTACAAAATTCCCCCTGACTTCTCACACAGCTAGTCTGAGCCAATGATGAAGACGTTCGCATGTTTGCTTCTTCTAATGTGTCTCAGTTGTGTCTTTGCCACGAAAATGGAGGAAGGTATGTGACCTTTCATAAATTAATCTAATCTACCTAATCTTGGTGAATCCAATCCTCATTTTAAAGGAATGTCAGAAGTACAAAATAATTGTTCTTCAAGTGATTGAATGTGATGATTTTTCTACGGCATGTATACAGAGACACTGAGGGCACTGTTGATCGAGACGCTAAAGGAATTGAAGAATCAGGAAGTGGAAAGAGGTATGTGTCATGGAGATCCGATATAAGGTCAACAAATTTTAGCATAAGTATGAAAGACTTCACTCTGTACTAATGTTCATGCCAAAAATACCTTCTGCATACCTTATTTCATTGGCCTATCCAGCGGGGGGGACATGCCCCCCTCCCCACGGACTTAGAAAATATAGATATTGTAATTTTGTTTCAACCGAGATTACTTCATATGTGAGTAGGAAAGAAACTAATTGGTATATTTATTTATCAAATAAATAGGCTGTGCACCCCCCATTACCATGTTGAATAAGCCCGAAAGTGCATTTGCGTTTTGAATTTGTCCTCCTGACCCCAAAACCTGGATACGCTGGTGTCTCATTTGCCATGTCGAGCTATACAAGTGTACAAATAATATGCACGCTGGTTTATAAGAATACTCCATTGAAGTGTGCTGATGAAATCATACAGTCTCAACCACAACCACCATCCGTAAAACAAACAAATGTACACCAACACCAAAACAAACGAACAAACAAAAAACCTTTTTCTCATTTTTGTTTTGTTCGTGGAGTGGTAATATGCAAGATAATGTCTCTATTCTCAACACCAGTCATTAGCTTATCCAGATATTTTTACATGGATATCAGCGGCCAGGAAGACCTGCAATACAGAATGCATGACATAATGCCATTCATCCATAACTCCATTCATTAAAATCCATACATATGCAAATATTGATTACCCGGAAGTGTTGTACAGCTTTCTCATAAGCGCTACCCAGTGCGACATGTTCCTTCATTCAAAATCCCTTAGCCGACATCTTTCCTATTATGTACTCGACTTGATTAATATGTCGAGCTTTGTCATTCTTGGCCGCTGTAGTACACCGTGGCCCAGTGGTTCTTTGTGCAAGAGTACCGTGGTGTGTTCGGTCCTTGGGCCTTTCTCCACCTAGGAATTACGCCTGTACTAGTCATGCTTTTCTTTAGTCAAGTATTAAAGAGCGACGATTATCGCAAAATGTAAAGACGAGGACAGTGATGTTGAACTGTATTTTCCCCTCTACCCTGAAACCATTGAAACAAAGATGGAAAGTATGAAGCTAGAAAACGCAGCAACATTTTCAAAGAAACATCGAGCGGGAGATAGTTTCATAATAATAGATTTGTCAACTATATTCTTTCCCGTCCGCATTTGATAGGAGTTTATTGCAACGGGAAGTGGTGCGGACCTGGGCAAGAGTGCGTGATGTCGTCACACGGAAAGGTTTGCTGGGATACATAATGTGCCGGAGGCAATGTCCTACCTTTAGGCCTACCCTGCATGGATGAGTGACGAAATGGAAACGAAATGCGACGACTGATTCTTGATGTTCAAGTTATAAGACTGAGTAGTTTTAAGGACTCCATGGTAGCAGATTAAATGATCGTTGTATTATCTTGTTAACTTACTGCTTTGTAATGCTAATTCCATGGGGCGTCTTTTGTATTGTGCTGTTCTTGTAATCTTAACAAGACCTCTGCATCTGTAACGTCATCCAGAAATTTGATTTGATTTGAATCTGCTAATAAACGGAAGCAGTCAGACGGATAATTGTCCGAACAACGTAATAACCTCCCCTTTACTGAAGACAAGTAAGATTTCCAAGCTCAGAAAAACATATAAATTAAATTAATCATTGTGTCTGTCTAAAAATTACAATAGATGTACATCATGATATACTTCCGTGTCAGTGCAACCAAAAACAACAACATCACAAAGAGGGGATGAATGCGTATTGCAGACAATAAACCCCACCGTAAATCCTTCATTATGGTGTATCTTTCATCGCAAACACAAACAAAACTCCAGCAAATAAACAAACAAAATAAAACAAAAATGTTATCACTATATTAGAATGATGTATTAGAAATTTTAAAACATTGCACATTCGCTCGTTCAGTTCCATAAGCGAAACAGGTCGTATTTTCTTACTCTCTTACTCTCTCTATTTTTTTCCTCTGCAGTACGTTCACATTTCTGTCAACAGTTGCTTAGTTATAGTTAATAAAGGTCATTGAATATTCCATCGATCATTGCTCAAAAACTAGCTTTATTTCTAGAGTTTGAGACTAGATAAAAATTAGGCCTATTTCCATGACGAACAAAAACCTGATGATGTCCAAATCAGAAAGTTATACCTATTCTACATACCTCACTACAAACTGGATCGGTTCACACCGCTTGAAACGGCCACTAGAACAGCTCCATCAAGATTGCGCAACAAACAAATGGCAGATATATGGTCGCACTATACACCCACGTTTACACATCTCGTACCCTCCTCAGGAAACAACAGCTAGATTTGCCAGATTTCTTTGGAGGAAATGAAACTCGCAGAAAATCTAGCACACTGAAATTTGTAAGAGACCCCCGATGGAATTACTTTAGAATACCAACCAGATGTAGACAGGCCTGTTTCGAGTAAGTTTCAATTGCAACAATATATCTGGAATATTAAAGTCGGTAGGCCTACTTGTCCATGCGCACGAAGAGCCCAACCTGAAAGTAAAGTGAGAATGGTATTTTACAGTGGGCATAACTGGGCAATGTCCAGGATGGATGCCCGGTATATATAATGTGAGATGTTATCAAACTGAGGACGTTTGGTAACTCATTGCGCATCCATGCAGGCATGTGATTTGTGATGATTTGGCAGAGACAGAATTTTAAATGCGTTTGCCAGGGTTTGCGGTTTTTATCTGGTAACCCTGAAAACAATTATTTCGATACGTCCTCTTTCTTCAGTGTAAAAAAGAATCTTCCTTCACTGATTTATGTGCATACTAGTTCCCCGACACTTATATGACGTCATAATAACTATAACAATTTCCTTTGATGTATGAACCCTAAAGTATAATAAATTCTTTGTTGAATACAAGGGAGTGCTGCCAATTTTCTGACGTGACACGCTAAGTGAACATAGGATATTGAAATTGTCATTGATATCAGTATCATTGTTATTTGTATTACAAAAATCCATTCGGTCAGAGCAAATTGAGTTCTGAGTTGAATGTCAGCACCCCGAATTTTAACTTTCGGTAAGTTAACAGAATTTACATGTCCATGCCTGTGGTGCTTTCTTTCTGTTACTGTGCTTTTTGGTATTCTTATTCTTTTTAACCTCCATCCTTGTCCCCTTTCATGCCAAAAAGAGCTCCATTCTTCAAACGATGACTTTTGCTACAGGCCTAGCTTCACAATGTCACCGATTGGCTTCGTATACAGTGATTACCACAATGAGTATTTTTCTTCATGACTATGTACGTATTTAATGTCAAGTGGCCTACCTACGGATGGCCATGATGGCAACTTGATTATAATTAATGGCATTACGACTTCGATTCTGTGTGGAGAAAGTTATGCTCACTTAATTGTGCGGAATGGTTATCTCACAAATTTGCCTTCATGTGAGTAATGTTATGATAACGCCCATGCCTTAACGTGGTTCCAGGGGCCTGCTTGGTTTACAGCGATCTGCACCTCGATCGGTGATCCTAACGCTGGTTCGCATCATTCATTAGGCGGGTTTTGGTGTCCATAAACCAATGACGGATCCCTGATCTTGATCTGCGTGAAAGAATCCTGGGCCGTAAGGTGTCGTGTTGTCACTGTCAGGAAGAAATGCTTGACTGTGTTGAGCAAAGTTTGAACTTCCTCATCACTTCCCTACAATCCTGCCTGAAACGTCTGTTTGCCAATCCATAAATGAGCGGATTTACAACGTTGTTGATGTATACAGCTGTGAGAAGTTCTCGCGAGATATCCCAGTATTTCTGACGGATGATTACTCCGCCATATTCAGCTAACCTCATACCAAACCAGATGAAATAAGGCATCCATGTCAGGAGGAACACAACACTAGTGACGAATAGCATTTTGGTCGTCTTACGTTGAAGCACAACAGCACTATTCCTGACCTGACCGAAACCTGTCCCACTGTCTTGTCCTTGATGTCTCCTGCCCCCGTATGGGGCACGCGAATCCCTCTCCAATGAAGCATCTTTTCTCATCGGGTGTTTGGAACGTTGGTTGGAGCAATGTTCATTAGTTTCATCTCGACATAGATTCTTTGAATGTACACCACTCTGATGCTTTGTAATCTTTTCCAAGGAGCTTGTCTGAAAGTTGTGTGCATGGTTGATAGATTTCGACAAAACTTCGTCGACGTTCGATGTTAACACGGCACAGTTTGGTGGCTCAATCCTAGAGCAACATTCATTGATTTTCGAACGGTCTTCGTCTAGATTTTGCACCTGTCTTCGAACAGCTCCAACCCTTACGTGCTTCCGGATGGTTGAATAAACTTTACCATAGCAAAAGACGATCGTCATAAGTGCTATTACGAAAGAAACTGTTTGGAATGCCACCTGGAGCTTAAATAGGACAGAACTGGAGACATTAATAATCCTCAAGAAAGCTGGGATGCTTGCTCCTAGCGAGACTAGCACTGCAATGTAGGCGGCGGTCTTACTGCGTCGAGAAGTAAAGTAACGCTTTTGTGGACGGCAGATGCAGTCGTAACGATCCCCTGCGATAAGAGTTGTTATAAGAACAGAAGTTCCAATGACCGTGAACTCAAAAGGCCAGAAAAACTTTGTGACTGTTGTTACCTGCTCGCTACTAACCCCCACCAATTCTAAGACCCGTTCGCAGACAGAACAACTTCGTAGCAAACAGACGACAAGATCAGACCAGGCCAAGGCCATGATCAAGACGTGGGTGCTGGTCTTACGAGTCTTGGTCCAATAGACACGGAGGATAAGGCAGTTGCCTGGCACGCCGAAGATTATTAAGATAGAGTTGGAAATCACATGAAAGATATGAAGTGCATTTGTGTCTGTGGTTACGTCCTCTGACACTTCGCTGGAATTGGAAATACTTTCCATTTTGCCGGTCGACGTACAAAGTTAGACAAATTGGTAGGATTTTTTAAGGTAACAGCTTGTTGTTGGATTGCCCACGTTCATTAGCTGCATGCACAAAGCTTCTTGTGCCACATCATGGACAGAATTTGATACAACCAACGAAGTCTCTTCAAAATTTCCGTCACTAGTTTTGCCTCTTCGAGAGCTTAAAGAGGTATCACATCTAACTTCAACACATTTGCATCAGAGCTCGAAAACTCGAGCTATAAAAAGGGAGGTGTGTATACGTGACGGGCTTGACGAAAAACGCATTATGGCTCTCGGATTCACGTTCTTCCGTTTCGCAGAGCAAACAGAATTGAGGAAGACTCAGGCTTATCATACGAAGCCTCGTTCATAACATTGGGAAAGCATGTTTGCATGTCATGAATCACATACTGAAATTAGGAGCCAATCTCAAGAACCATTATGTAATGCAAACAAAATGGTCGATTCGAAAAAAAACAGGATAATTTTGTTTTACTTCAACACAACAAATTGATGCAGAATTTGAAGGAAAATGGAATCCATTACGAGAGTTTGTATTCTTCACGGTTACCACGCACTGGAGTGCTTTTAGCTCTGCCTTATCTCGCATGAGTTATCTTTACTAGTTTATCATTGATCATCCCATTGATTGTAAGATGAGTACATGTCAGCCTAATTAGGACTGACATTTTAGGATGATCTTATATTTGTCCAGAAAATTGACAACCCGGAAACAACAATAAAAGCCACCACCAGTAAAGAAAATCGATCAATCAGTCAATCAAACAGTCAGATAGTATGAAGCGCCCTTTATGACTTTATTAGCAAATAGATATATATCGAACGAAAGTAATATATATTGGAAGAAACTGATATACGTAGGACGAAAGTGATAAATGTAGAACGAATTTGAAAACATTGAACCAAACTTGTTGAAATTATTACCAATATGAATTAAAATAAAACCAAATTTTATGAATATGGAACGAAAGTTATAAACATAGAACGAATATAAAACTGTAAAAACGGATCTGAAAATATACGACCAAACTTGTAGAAATATATGACCAAAACCAAATAAAAATAAAACCAAAACTAATAAATTTAAGATGAAAACTGTAAATATAGAACAAAAATGAAACTATATTGAACAAATCTTAAAATATAGAACCAAACTTGTGGAAATAAATTACCAAACACAGATAAACATAAAACCCAAACTTGTTGCTTGTTGGCCGGCCGCCGGGGCCAGTACTCTTTAACCATTCACCATGGCTGACGATGGTGCATGTGGTCCATAAAATCTGCTTCTTGCACTACGAAATAACTGAGACAGTTCAGCATCAGGCCTCATGGGCGTATAGATCTATGCCGATTGTTGTTGACAGGACTAGTGAAAGTGACAGTCGGCCTCGTGACATGTGCACCGAGAGCAGGCGCAGGCCTGGGGTCAGTGCCAGAGGCAGGCCTAGCATTACTTGCTACCAGGTTATGAAATGCTGGGGTCTCAAGAAGCTTATCCACAACTTCTTGAACGCGGACTGTCACACCACGTGCACTATCGTTCTATATTTATCACTTTCGTCGTACGTATATCACTTTCTTCCAATATATATTACTTTCGTTCGATATATATCTATTTGCCAATAAAGTCATAAAGGGCGCCTCATACGCGCGTGCTGCTGTTCCCGAAATAACGAGCCCCGCATCGATTAATGTCATTAGTCGTGTTTGATTGATGAGATCAAGTAATTTTTTGCCCCATTGAAAGTATGGGGGAGTCATCCAAGAAAGCTCATGGTCAATTTGATGGATGGAGGACGTTCATCACAAATTCTGACTGCAATGCCATGGCAACCGTAAAACAAACTCTGTACAGCTCCCTGGCGTTGAGAGGCCGTGGGAGGGGGGAGGCAAATGGAAATGAAAAAAGGAAAAGAAATAAAAGAGAGAGAAATGATAAAAGTCACCAAATTTGGCTTTCAACCGTGACCCCTGTCACTGTTCATGGTTTAGTCATTCCGTTACGGATGAGTGCTCTTTCCTTCCCCTTAACATTTCCCTCCCGGAAAAAAGAGAGCACCCTCCCGAAAAATTCTGTCGACGTCTACGAGACACCCAGCTCAACACAATCAATTGGTCTTCATTTTGAACAGTTTGGGTAGGATATAATGCCAATGTTTAAGGCCAGATCAGTGTGCCATCATGGCTTGAGGAAAAACCTAGTTGTTTTCCAAGTGGGGAAACTACAAGAAATGAAGGGGAAAATATTCAAATACACAGACAGCAAGAACCTCATGAATATCTTCAAATGCGGTTTTGGAACACGGAACATCTTGTAAATAAAGCATTCTGCTTGAAAATTGCAACTTTTGGTCACTTCAACTCGAGTCTTCCCTGAAAAGGAACAACACTCATCTAATAGTTTGGAAATATAAACAGAATTTTTTTTATCTATAAGGATACCAGTTAAAAGATTTCCTAGGTTTCGGGGGGGGGGGGGGGGGGACNGGGGGGAGGACAAACACGAATTTGCGCACGCCTTGTCCCCATCTTGTATCTATATAGCCCCCTCTATTGACGGACCGTCGCCACACTGAAGACTGTATGTGATGTGCACGCATAGTATCGATATGCGTACGTTTCCGGTGTCATCTTGGTAGACCACAGGCCAGCAAGTGTTGACGAGTTCTCTGCATAACATTCCGAATTCTTTCTACGAGCTTGATTGTGACAGTGACGCGATAACAGCTCTTTCTGAGCTTCGAGCAACATACACCATGCCTGGATGGATGCCTTCGTGCTTTCGAGGATCACGTGATGGTAAGACATGATTAAATTCACTTCCAAGTTTCAGTTCGAGCTGTCATATTCAAACACTGGAAAAAAATCTATCGCGCTCGCGCCAACTAATCTCCAAATCAGAAGCGAGACAGGTCTCGTACCGGTACAAGCACAGAGGTAGGAAGAGACCTCCATGGTAGGCCCCCCCCCATAGACTAACGGTAGTTTATCTTAATGGATGATTTTTTTTCTCAAACGGTGATGATGTGTGTGATACCTACTACAAGAGAAAGCCTGAAACTTCTTTCTGATTTTGACTTATTGAAAAATATGATCAGATGGACGCAAATATTATTTTTGTGCAAAATGTACGGGGAGTTGTAAAAATTGCTCTGTGTTTTCCAACAAAAATTGAAATTTGTTTTTAAATTTGTTGAAGATGCCAGTGGTCGATCTGACTGACTACTACTTGAGTACTAGTGCGATTTAATTTGGACAAATAAATTTTGGGTTATTTTTCATTCAATGTTAACATTGCCCCTTTCTCCTCCCCACAGTGCCTTTCTAACATTGTGCAATCACCCATGCAGTATTTGCAATAAGGTTTATCAACCTACTGTCAATGAATCTTGACGGCTAATTATTGATTCTGAAAAAATGATGGAAATCAATCAGGATAGAAAATCAGTGGCATAGCCGGGAGGGGGGGATTGGGGGGCTGGGGACACATGCACCCCTACAAATTCCGGGTGTTCCCCCAGATGCCCTCCCCTTCACTGAAAAAATGGAGGAATGGATATTGAACAAGGCTAACAAAAACTTGCTCCCAAAAACACACCTCTGAAAGCTGGTATTCCCCCATGAGATTCTGGTGCCCCTTTGTGCCCTCCAACCAGTAAAATCCTAGCTACACTACTTTAGGAAATGTTGGTGCATGAGAACCAACGCACATAGTCATTTCACACTTTGTTGGCCCATGTCACACTTAACTGACATAGGCCTAAGCCAACGTGTACGTCTGATTTTCATCACCACTTACATGTAGATAGTAGACACCCATGTGTGGTGGAGGTGCATGTTTCACACTGTCCCATGTACGATACACGTGCCATGAAACAATCATCCAAGCTATGTTTTTTTCTTGATATCGTAACAAACCCACAGGAAGTTCCAAAATGAATGTACAGTAAGTGGATATTGCTACATGTATCACAGTGGTCTTAAATAGTCAGATGTTTATGTCGGAACTGCATGTACATATACAGCCTTAGGTAGCTTTGTAAAAACATGGGTGCGTGATGGTGTAAGATAAATACCACACGTCCATATATGTGTTTGCCTGTCACATACATGCAGTTATGTGGACTCAAAGGGCAAACCCTGTTGTTTCTTCATATTGTCTCATCTTCGACTTGAAAAACACNTTTTGATGATGAGAGAGTTGTAATTTTTCATTGCTGTAATGTGACGCATCCATTTTTTGTCCACCCTGTTGTGGATACATGGCACCCCAGCTCCAGTCCTCAGGTGTAGAGAATGCTACAGTATGTTTCATGGTAACAGCAATCAATTATTGTGAAATATGTGCTGTCTCCACTCATAGCCAAAACCAACACACAAGGTTGTGTTCTTCAAATGTCCAAGACCTTACCCAGCTCCCATAATGCAACACAGCAAGCATTCATGACATCATTTTGTGGGGGAGGGGTGTGGTGAGGGGGGTGAGACCTGAGTGTGGACAGCTTTCTGTGAGCCACTTCCATTTTTAAAAAGGGGTGTACATCATAGTAAAAACAAATCATGTCCACAGTTACATTCCCACGTTGTATGGTATCTACATGGATGTATGCATTATTTCTTTCATGTTAAAAAAGCACACAAGTTGTCTATCTCTGGAGGACATTAGAAATGAAATTATATTTTGGTTTTGTAACAGTGCATTCTATCCCACAAGCAAGACCGTGTGATGAATGTGCTTACCATTTAATCGTCCATTTGGTGACACCCCTGAAATCCACAAACAAAAAGGATCTTTTTTGTAGAAACGATTTTTTAACATTTCAGTTTTATTTCTTAGATCTACATGTATACATGACCAAAGGAATCAGTCTTTCATCTGACCTTTCAATCCTTTGGTTCAACATGACCATTTTTGACCAACTTTTTTAACATGTTGAAAAGCGAAATGGTTTTGCTCAAAATTTTGTTTTTGTTGCATTATGGTCAGATGCACTGGATGATACAATGCTTACACATAGCCCTTAACACAATACAAAATACGGAACCCTGGGAACTAGATGAATGCCTAGTGGTCGATCCTTCTCACACCCAACCCTGACTTTACAGGGCCTGCAGTGGGTGAACATTGTTGTGACGGCTGCGGCCACACTGTTGCAGCCCAGGGATGTGCGTGCGCACGTCTTCACTTAGCAAATAAGATACACCGTAACGTTGGTGGTGCTAACCCATCCCCCCAATCTACCAGGTAGATGCATGGATTTAGCAAGCCATGAATCAATCTGAAGGCGGTTAAATAGGATAAGTTATCGGTAAAGGGTTTTGACAGGCTTAGGATTTTTAAAGCAGTAGAGTTTGTTGAAAGTCACTCCGGTGCAAGCAGAGACCAGCACCAATTCAACAAGAAGTAAACATTAACATAATTTAATAGCAGAATGGAATGTCCTTCCCAGATTTTTAAAGTTCATCAACCATGTGAACATATTTGTCTGGAAACCATTTTATTAAGTTTAAAAAAAAAAAAGATATTGGTCAGTCCACCACCGACACCCTTCCCCACATTTTTCAGTCTGCCCTTGAAGGGATTATGAGAGTTAGTCCACATGTATCCTCAGAGTCTTCCTTAAGAGGATTTCAGGCTCTTTTTCATATGTAGATGTTATCATTTGTACACATTCTGAGAGTACAATAAGCTCTTGACACAAACTTTAAGTGCCACATGCGCACTGACTGGCTTTGGAGTAACTTGGCCACCCCACCCAGTGTTATGGAGAGAAGTTCCTGTGTGTGCATTGAAGTTGGTACCCCAAACAGATGTTTTTCTACACTGTGGGATTACTAGACTGGAGGTATTCAGAGGAAGGTTAGCTTTCCAGACAAACATGCACTGGTTGTAGGTACATGCACTGGTATACTTGCATCATCAACAGTTTTGGAGCAAGAATGATCAGAAATACCTATATTTCAATGAAGACCAAAGAAGGATTTACTTGAATTCCGATTGATTGGATTTAAAGAACACTGTGGAACTTTTCAACTCAGTTGTGTGGAAATATAGCAGTTAACAGTGAGACTGTGATTGTTGTGCAGTCTGTCTTAATGCGAGGAACTTGGTGTGTGCTGGTATGCACAATACCTGTTTCGGTACATGGATGTTGTCACAAAGTGTGCCACATGGAAAGTACTGCCAGATTGAAATGTGATTTCTTCTTCACTGAAAAGCAGCAAGGCTTTAGTCGAGGAAACTTCTAATGTAAAGTATTCCCATGGGTAACTCACCGGGTAAGCACAACAAGAGACATCAGAAAGAGTCAAGGAATGATGTGTTGTCATCGGATAATGAAGACCAGCAGTGGGAGAGTGGAAACTCAGGTATTGTATAGTGGACAGGTGCAGGATGTATGCTAATGATGAACACCTGCTGGAAAAAAATGTCACTTTTTGGATGGATGTGAAGTTGGATACAGGGTGTATACATGCAGAATTTTGAATTACATGCATGTTACATGTAGTTGAATGGAAAAAGTTCTGTATCTGGTTAGCATGCACTTGCCACCAAATAGAACAAATTCCACCTACATGTACTGTACATGTAACTTTGAATTTGTACCCCAAATGTAAATTTTTTAAGAGTATTAAAGTTGGCAGGGGTTTTAAGAAATATAATGTGAAAGGTCCATGAGAAAGTTGGTCAGAACCGTGAATACATGTAATTATGGCTTGTACAGTAACAATGTTTACATTTTAATTTTTTTCAACTGCAAAGAAATGAACACAAAAGAATCCTGCCTGCCAAGGTCCTTTGTGGTTTTCTTTTTTTTTTCTAAGTGCAGCGGAGGCAGGAAGTGTGTAGTCCCATTGTTACCTTCACAACGGAAGTAGAAGTCTACCAAAACACTTCCCACTGTTTGGCTAAAAAGGAAACGAAATCTCATTTCTGTATCAAATCATTGACCATAAATACAGTCATACTTCCCAGCATGAAGGAGTCGGGTTAGGGTTACTGTGATTTTCTTGCCTTCCATTTCTCACATAGCGAGGACAGGTTCGAATCCCATCTCGGCCAAGAGGCTGTGCGGCTTTGCACCCTCTGTCTTATTATGTGGGTTTTCCCTGGAAGTATTATCCTGGGTTTTTATTCCAAACTCCAAAACTTAGAAAAATGTTTTGATTGTTTTTGATGTTTCTGAATTAAAATATCAAGAGTGTCCTTCACCAGAAAATACTGCAAGAAATAAAAAAAAATACGTACATGTTATAATAAATTACCATTATTTTATGTTACATGTGTGTACAGCTCAAATGACTCCTTTTTCATAAATTCACTCTTTTTGTCAAGATTTCTTTCTCTTTTAAATTTGTTTCGATCAAAACTACACCATCATACATGTACCAGTCCATGTACTAGTAGTCTGCTTAGGTATTTTGCCTAGAATCTTCCCAATTTAGATCCAATCTAAAATTCATCCATGCCTAGTGGGATGTAGTACTCTGACGAGTGACCTCCTTGGGTCAGTGTGTTGAGATTTCATCCCTCACTGTTACAAACCGAGGCAAAAACAAAGTCACGAAACAATTGATCAAATAATAAGTTGTCCATAGCTGGTCAACATAATCCGAAGTTTTACAAATTTCACAAAGTTTAGAAATTATGACTGAAGAACAACTAGCCTCAAACCATGAAGTTTTTCCAAATCTGAAAGGACTTGTATTTAAGGTAAAATTTCATTTGAGGAAACCCTACATTACTCAAAAAAGTTAAGGACCATTTTTTCTTAACTTGTAATTTTTTTCCAAGCAATGGGTAGGGTCTAGTTCTTTCATTTTTTGTTTGTCTACATGTAGATGGTGTTTTCATTGGAATAAAAAAAATTATGTTTCAAAACATCAAATGCACATTTTCAGTAGTAAAATAGGTCATATAAAAAAAAATAAACACAAAATAAATAGTGGTCCTTACCTTTTTGAGTAGTATATTTCATCAGACCTGCTCTCATGCATGTGAAGGATGGCATTTCAATTTATGGGTGACCCTCCAGCTTGAGTACTTGAGAAAAACATCTCACATAGTCAGTATTTATATGTACATGTATGTATGCATTATGATTAGCCAAAGATGACATGTCCCACACCCGTTCATATGTACATACATGTACATGGATCAACACATCAGGATGCTACAGGTATTAATGCCTCCTACTGTTGGAATGGTCATGGGGATGTCAGTGCAGTCATGGAGGAATCTCCTATGATGCAATACACTCCCCTTAGCAAACTTCAATCAGATCTTGTATTGTTTGATTGATTCTGATATCAGGGGTGGTCGTTTATTAGAGTCTCAGGAAAGTTTGAAGTGAGTACCAAGGGACGAGTATTGCCAAGATAGTGTTTGGATCATTATCTAGCAGTTTGATTACTGTATAAGATATGCATCACATTGTAGTTCTTACTTGGATGCCTTCATTGAAATGTTCCACGTTCCTGGTACAGGCACATGCAGGTCTCAAGGTCACTATCTAAGGTGTGAAAATCATAGTTGCACCTGTATTAGTCTTTTACAGATATGTGCCTTTTAAGTTGGAATTCAGTGTATTACTTTGAAGTTTCCAAAAAAACGTTCAGGTTGTTCTTGATTCATGCAAAGAGGTTTTCATTCATTGCATATGCAGTCAGAACACAGCATTGGCTGCTTATTCCTCTGTCCAGAAATTCATGCACAGCTGACAGTGTATTGACCTCCTACATAGAACTGGTTGTTGAGTGATATCCCGTGTCAGAGCCAAGAGGTCACCTCTCACAAGCTTATTGCCACCAGGGAGGGGGATGTGGGACCAGGGGAGGTACAGAACAAATTGACTTGTTTGCACTAGGCCTACATGGGGAGACTAGGGCTGCTGCAGGGTTTGAAGTAGGCCATGGACAGCTGATCTTTTGAGTTTGCTGCCCACTTACACTTTCAGAAACTATAGAATCATGGGGCCTTGCTCGTTAAAGCATGCTTTCCTTGTTGGGCATTGGCTTTAGGAAAACTTTATGTACTGTTAATTGTCGTTTGATAAATCAACAATTAAAATTGCACACTCCTCCAGAAAGCAATTTAACCTTTGCCCCCAAAGCTGCTAAGGTATTTGTACTGTGTGATGAATGGTTGAAGGAGAATTTCTTTTATAGGAAATCACTACAATTATGACCAGTTCAATTTTTCTAAAGATGAAATTTTGATATATTCATGTAGGTTTTGGTTAAGAGATCCAACAAGGACACACTTACATGTACACTGAAATAACCTAAGGCATTGGCCAAATCTTTCTCCTTTCCATATCCTGATCCTAGAGGAAGAAAGAAATGCCTTCTAAAGTGACGTCATATGCAAGGAGTCTACCGACTGAAGAACAACTTTCTTGAGAAATGAACATTCGTTAAATGATTCAGATAACTTTTTTATCAACCACACTTTGTTACTAACACAAACAGGTTCAAGTTTATCTCTACAAAGGAGATCCAGAGATGGATCTAAAACCATTGAGTGGGGAAGGGGTGAGTAACTTTGGGCAGGGATCAACATTTAGATTTTTTTCATGTACCCTTTTATGGCCTTTCTGAGGGGTGGGGCTACATTTTTAGGATATTAGGAAGACAAATGAAACAGACCAGAGAAATTGCCTTCCTCTCATTTGGAAAAGAAACAAAATCACATGTCACTCATTTTTTAGAGAATATGTTTACATTGTCTCAGCGTGAAATGGAGATAAATCAAGGAATCCAGGAGGTGTTATCATTTTGTTATGTAACTACACAAGATCTTCTTTAATGGGGGGGGGTTACCAGTCATTTCCAACTCATATCTGGATGTCTTGGATAGTTATCATCAACACTCTTGGCAAGATGAGTGTAAATCAACAAAGACATCTGGAAGTCTTCAAAGTTCTGTTGGGAATATTCCAAATTAAAATAGGGGTGATTTATGATGTTTGATAGGAGGAAAGAATTTGGTGTGAAAAGTGTATCTTTCTTTGAAATCAACCACATTGATGAAAATATAGAAATAATATTCTTGATTAAATGGAAGTGCAAACATTGCCCTTTTTATTACTCTTGTAATACTCTTCAGATTTTGGCAAGGGCTATGTTACAAGGGCATAGTTCTCTCAGAGGTGTAAGACATAATCACCCCTTCCTGTGTGTGATGCAGTTCCACTTAAAATTCTACCTGCTCAGAACAAGTTCCGAAGGGGCCTAGTAAAGACGAACATATCCTTTCGTAGACAGTGGGGTTGGATTTGAGACTAGGAGTGGTTGCCATTTTCAAGAAGAAACGGTGTAGGATTATTATTGTCAGATGATACGGTCTATTCTAAGCCTTAGTTCCTAAGTTCATTATCATTAATTGTCTATGGGAATTTTCTAAGTAGCAACAGGATGAGTTTGTGTTTTTCTCGGACGAGGAGTCCTAGCATATCTGGTGAGTAATAAGACTGTTTTGGCACAGGGTCTATAAACGTCTGTGATCATTAGAAGTACATGTAGGAAACATGTAGGGGATGGAGCAGATTGCCGTGTCTGTAACAGTTTTGCACTAGTCTGACGACTGTCTTGCTGTGGCATGTGTGACTTGTCACCACAGAATGAGTTGAAAGTCAGAATTTTCAGATATTGAGATACTGGTATTTTTTAATTCAGCAGAGAAGATCTTTCCTATGGTACATGTATGTAACAGGATAAAATAAGGATGACACTGTGACGTTATACCTGTGGATCTGTGTCATTGTTTCCGACATTGTTTCAACATTTCTGACCAGGTACACATAATGTTGTCTTCAAACACGTCAAAATTGTGACGCAAATGATTTTTAAAAAAATCTGATATTGCTACAAATGTGAAATTAAATAGAAGACGGGTTACTCTTTCCAAATATTACAAACCTCCAAATTTGACTACCAGATCAATTTTTTGACATTTAACCATCATGTAATAGGAAAGATCAGAATGCGACTTTATAACCACTTTGTTGTGACCGTGACAGGTCTCACATTTTAAAGAGTACTTTTCATTTATGGGATTTTTAGTTCACAAATTTATCTTCTGTACATGTAATTCATGAATTGAACATTACCCGGTATGTTCATGTACATGTACAAATCTTTGGCATTATTGAAAAGCAAGGGCTTGATGGTTTGCTTTTAGCTTTTGAATCTACATTGTACATACGTGTACCAAGATATCACTATGCGTACCATCCCTTGGATTCTCTGGGTCTGTTTTTTGAGCGGGGAGAGATGAAGTTTTATTTTTGTGTTCAGGGGAGTTCTACAGTAGTTGGTATATGTACATGTACAGTGTACCAGTACTAGTAGGTTTGGAACAACCCATTTGGGGGTACTTTGGATACAATATTTATCTACAATTCATGTACATAAGTACAGCGTACATACACTAGTGCATTTTTAAAAGGACTTGCAGTTCATAATATTGTTTATACATGTACCATACATGTACAGTCTGTATATTTTTGGTGTGTCCAGGTAGTGTTTGTTTGACCTTGTTGCTACTTTACGTGTACCTAGTCTGTGCATCAAGTGAGTGAAGCATATCAGAGTACTTACATGTGTATATCATCTACCACAGAAACACACAGGGTACCATACCTGGTATGTACATGTAATTTGTACGTGTACATGACTAGCTCTGTGCTTGAAGTCACTTTCTACTTGTATAAAATGAACCCTGGAACAATTGGCTTCATGAGAACGGTTGGTACTAATTTATTAAAGCCACATTCCCTCATTGTTTACCAATACTGGCATTTCACAGAAGTGCACCGGCGCCGCCAAGGTTTGCAACGTAGTGGCCATTACGTGAAATGCGCATTTGTCAACCGGCAAAGGTACATGTATGCGGATAGAGTTGACATGTTTTGCACATTGTGATTGGCCAACACATTCAATATTCTTGCTGGCGTACTATTGTGAAATACACTGTACCTGTATTAGTCAAGTCATAAGCTTCGTTAGTGGTACATAAGGGTACATGTATGTGAAAACTTCAATATTCACCCATGGCTCACCATACTGTACCGGATTCCAGTTCTCCAGAGTTCTTATCACTAATTTGCAACATGGCTGCCTGTGGCTCTGCGTGTAAGCTCAACTCTGTGATTGATGACTCATGTCAAATCTCATTTGTCACCCTGTTGCGTTTCCTGTCTGGTGGGCAACACACTGCATGTGGATGTCAAGACTACTTTCAATTGTCCATTTTTTTGTGTATGTGTGTGTCAAAGCCAAATTCAGAAATTAAGTACATTTGCTGTACGTATGTCTTACACAGTTGTAGCCTGGATTGTATTCTTTGTGGATTTTGTTGAAATGTTATCAATCCTTTACAGTGCTCACTATTCCATTCACATGATTGAGCACCACAGTGATGACATTTTACCCTCATAGTCTCAGTACTAAAATCCACTGGTTTATTTCTCCTACTTATGCTGTAGTTAAATTGAACTGTTGCTAATATTCAACCCTTCAGATTTGCTTTTAGACTTTTTATGGTGCCGTGACTTGACTGCACTCTGTGTGGTGTTCACAATCGAAAATCCCTTGCCTATAAAAGTCTGTTTGAATCTGGTTGTTTCAATCTTATTGTGTAGTGTTTAAAACTTGTATTCCAAAGCTTCTCAGATTCCACATTCAGTGTCCAATCCATAACGTCCAAAATCTGTAGGATCCAGTGGAAATGAAAACTTGATTTCCTTGACCTGACCTTCATAACAAGTTGATTTGATTCATTTAGAATCATCCTACAAGTAACTGATTGATCTGGTTTAAAGAAACTCTCTTGAAAGATCTGCCCTTCTGTAGTGTATATTAACCCTAACTACCCCAAACCTGCCATATCCAACAGCAGGTTTTGGCAGGTTTGGTACCGTACCTGATGAACTT